TTTGGGTTTCAGTAATTCCTCTCAGTTACATTACCCTTGATCACTCCCTACCAGGCCTCCTACACCCTCCTCACCACCGATTTGGATCACTTGTTGTTCCCTTGTCCCTGGGTTTGTTAACACCACTATCTTTCCCCCTACCTCCCCTGCTCCCATGTCCCCCCTGGAACTGTCGGTCCTGTTGTTTTCTCCTCCAGATTTTTCATCCAGCCTATCTTATTTAGACAGACATGCGGAGATAATAACATGCACAAAAACAAGACAGAGCAAACCCAAGCAACAAAATAAAACAACAACAACCAATGACAAAAAACAAAACACAACTGTTTGTTGGCCTTTAGGAGTGTTTTCCGGTAGAGAGTGGTGGGGCACCAAGCCCTGGCCCCAAAGTCTATTTTTGGTATTCCCTGGGGACTTTGTTGCTCTGTTCCCCTTGCTGTTCTGTTGCACACGCTTAGTGTTTTGCCTCGGTGTGGTGGGATCAGATCAGGCGGAATTCCCACACAGTGTCTCCAGTGTTGTCCCCTGTGAGGCTATGGGTCAGTGAGGGATGTCGTGTCTCATAGTGGGGCCAGCCATGTAGACTGCCTTCTTTATGGGACCAGAAGAACTGAATGGTAAAACTAAGAAATACCAGAGATTTGACCTAGTCCACTGATAAGATGACTGTACTCCTCACTACTTACTCCCAGGGCAGTGTGTGTGCTCTGAAAGGGGAGACCACCACACAATCCAGGCAGCAAATACAAGGGTGGCTGAATTAGAACAGGTTTCCCACAGTTCCCTGGGGCCCAGAGAGGGTATGGGCCTATAGCTTTGTGCTCGGGTGCCATGCGCAGTGGTGGTAGCTGTAATCTCCCCCTCCGCCTCTGCTCCCACAAAGGCTCAGAAGGGCAGCAGTAGCCTGGGGCTAAAGCAGTCTGACTGGCGATAGGGGGTTGTTTGTTTGTTTGTTTGTTTGTTTGTTTGTTTGTTTGTTTTTCCCCTTCTTGCCATTGTTTTCTTTCTTCCCTTCTTGCTTTTGACTGACAACACAAAACAGGGTGGAACCATCCCTGGTGCCCACGACCCCTGGCCGCCACATAGTGATCTCAGTCAGCCTCAGGAGGGGGCCTTGAGAAAAAGCATCTAGTTGTTCTGGTTTGGGAATTTGGTATTTGGGCTTTTTCCTTTTCTTTTGTTCTTTGGGTAAAACCACAAGTGGAGAGACAACAGGACAATAGGGGTAGAGTCCTCTCCCATTCCCCTCCTCCCCCCCAAACCTCTGTGAACCAGAATAAGTTAGCAACTCTCATCCTGGTATACCCAAGGTTGCAGACCTACTTGGGGTACCCCGGTCAGTCCCTTGACAAGCACACACTGGTGATTAGAAAGGATAAAGCAGCATAGGTTCGGGCTTGGGTGTTGAGGGAGGTGGGTCTTGTTATTGGTGTGCACGTTTGGTTTGGTTTGGTGCTATTTCTTTCCCAAACCACCTGATGGAGTCCACTGTCCTGATGCTCTCCAGCCCACCCCCACACCTTCAATAGCTTCAGCTAGTAGGCGAAAACTACTACCCACTCCATTTCCACCTAATCAACAAAAATAAATAGAAATAATAAACGGCCTAATGTCTTAGAGACAGCAATTTCTGTTCATGCAGAGAAACAAGATAGAATGCCACAAATGAGGGTCTAATAAAGAGTCCAAGGACCCCCTGGAGAAAGAAAGGCATTAGTACTATCAGAAAAGGAATTCAGACAAATCGTTTCAGGTACTTTCAGTGGGTGGAGAAAAGGACTAAAGTCACAGAGATTACTAAGGGAGATCTTTGGACACAGATTCAACAACAGCAATCATCACTCTGAGATCAGCATACAGGACACTCCCATCCAGAAATCAAACCACTTAAAGCAAGATTACAAGAACAAAAATAGGGAG